TCAGCGTAGATCATTGAACTCAACGTCGCCTCGGCCAGGGCGAGGGCGAAGGGTTGACCGGCTCGGCTGCCGCGGTGCCCTAGGGCCGCTGCGCCAGGGGGCGGCGCCCAGCGCGGAAAATGGATAGTCCGCGCCGCCTTGCCGTCCGCGAGAGCATGGCTGGCTGCCGCTGGCCAACTCGCTGCGGATGCCGCCGGCGCTGGCCGCCCGGGCCCTGCGCTGGGTTCGGCTTTGGTTTCGGGCTGATCTTCGCCGCTGTCTTCGGCTTGTGCTGCTGGCGCTGCTGGTTCACCGCGCATCCTGTCGGCGCGCCTGCAGCTTTGGCGGGCCCGCTGGCCTTGCGCGTCTTGGCTTTGGGGCGCGCCGCCAGGACTTGGAACTGATCGCGGCGGCCCTTGCGGTCGGTGGCTGCGGCGCCGAAGATCTCGCCAATTGCCTTGCCGAGCTGCTGCTTGAAATCTAGCTTGAGGGCCAGGGACTGGTCGAGCTCCTCCTTCGTGATGTCACGGCCCTCCAAATCAAGGAAATCTGCGTCCACGAAAGAGGCGCCGTCAGGCTTCTCGAGGAAGCTGGACATGTGCATGATGGTGCCCGTGGCCTCGGCTTTGATTGCGTCTGCGTGCGCGGGGGGAAGCAGCTGCGCTTTGACCGCGAGCACCTCATGCGTCGATCGAAGCTGCTCTTTTGCCTTGAGCACCTGCTTGGCCGCAAGAGCGGTCTCGAGCTTGCAAGCCTCGTGCCGCTCCTGGGCTTGCTCCTCGGCTTCGGCCTTGCGATGGAGGGCTTCTTCCGATCGCCGCAAGGGCGCTGACGCCGCCGCCGCAACGTCGGCCTGAAGCATCCTGGACTTCGTCTGGACAGGCCCGAGAAATGGGGCCACCTCCTGCAGTTTGACATCATATTCTGGCGGGAGAAACCCCACGCACAACTTGGACAACCCCGCCAAGCTGGATCGGGGCTGCTGCCAGCGGCGGCGAATCAGCTGCACGCCGAGCTTTCCTGCGCGACTGCTGGGAGCTGGCGCGACCAAGCGGGTCGCAGGAGGCCTGCCGCCAAAGAGCTCGCTTCGGGGCAGGCGAAGTGGGCCCCGCAACAACATCACCGCCCGCGTGGCGATCCTTGAATTTGCCGCCCTGCTTGCCGTTGCCGCCGCTTTTGGTTCTTCAACGAGCGCCATGCCGTACTGGTGGCACTCTGACCAGGAACGAAAAATCCCACCTGTAGCCGCAGACGCTGCACTTGGAGGTGCTGGCCCCCGGCGCGGGGTGAGCGCGTTGCGTCCGTCGATGCTTCGCCATGGCGCCCAGCCGAGCAAGCCAACGCGCCGCCTCCAGCGCGCTCTGAGGCCCGTGCGCGCCGCTCTCGCCAGTGCCAGGCAGGTGAACGGGAGCAAGCGCCGCCCCCTGCCGCCAAGGATATCGCTGCACCGCGGTTTGCTCGACACAGCCCGCGGCAACAGGGGGATCAGCCGCAGGACAAAAGAAATGACCGCGAATCGCTGAACCACGTGAGGATGGAGACGAGGAGGAAAACAAGGAGTAGGAGGAGGAGGAGGAGGAGGAGGTGGAGGAAGAGGAGGAGGAGGAGTGGGGAAGGAGGGGGAACGGACGAATAGGAGAACCATGGGGGAGGTGGAGTGGGAAAGGAGGAGGAGGAGGAGGAGGAGGAGGAGGAGGAGGAGGAGGAGGAGGTGGTAGAGGACGCGGAGGAGGAGGACGCGGAGGAGAATTTTTCCCGCGGCTACAACTCTGCGAGTGGCTCGCGACGCCGTTGCGCGCTTGGACAACACGGCGGGCGCCGGACCACTCTGAGTCCCCCCGTCGCCCTGTTGCTCCGCCGTGGCCTCCTCGTCCTCGTGCCGCCTCTAGGGTTGCGTTCCTCTTCCTGCGCGACGCCCTGCTGCTCCTCCTTGTCCTCCCCATGCTCAAGATTCCTCAAGATCCCTCGAGACTGCTCCTCCTCCTGTTCCTTCTCCTCCTCCTCCTCCTGTTCCTTCTCCTCCTCCTCCTCCTCATCCTCCCCCTCCTCTTCCTGCTCCTCTTCCTCCTCCTCCTCGTGCCCATCATCCTTATTATCCTCTGCGTCCTCCTCCTTCTCCTCCTCCTCCACTCCTACTTCTCCTGCTTTTCACCCCTCCTCCTCTCCCTTTCCTCCTCTTCCTCCTCCTTTTCCTACTCGACATCATGAGTTCGTGGGAGAGCTGATGGCGGCGGTGGTTGACCATCGTAGACATCGTTGTGCTCTTCGAGGGGTTGGTGCTCCTTGACAGTGCAGACAGTGCCCGCATGAGTGTCCACGGGAGGGGACTCAGCGGGGCGGGGCCAGAGCGCCCAACAATATTACAACAACCGCAACAAGCCATATGCAATGTGGCTCGTAGGCGGGAAAATGCGCCTGCCAATGAAGAAGAGGGGCGCATCACGAATGTCAAGCAGAAACAAGCGGAGAAGCATGCATATGTTGAATAATGATACAGGCGAAGCTCAGTGCGGAAAGTCATGCACATCATGGATGGAGAAACTCAGGCTCGATCTCACTCCATGCTGGTGTTCGTGCCACGCTGGCCCAGCCCCTCGTCTCGGAAGGCATACCCAGGGCTTGGTGTGCATGCTTGCGTATGTCGTCGTCCCATCGAGTTGATGGCCTGGCTTGTTTACGATTTGGCTCCAGGTGCTTGTACATGCAAATCAGGCTCCCACAGCAACGCCCAGGTTGGTGCTCCTGGGCTTTTTATAATCACACTCAGCGCCCCGTCCTACTCCTCCTCCTCCTCCTCCTCCTCCTCCTCCTCCTCCTCCTCCTCCTCCTGATCCTTACCCTCCTCCTGCTCACCCGCCGCCAGCCTTTTCAAATGACCTGTCTGTGTGCTTGTCTGTCTGTCTGTTGGTCTGTCTATCAGTCTGTGTCTGTCTCTCTCTCTCTCTCTCTCTCTCCCTCTCTCTCTCATTCGCCTCCTCCTCCTCCTCTTTGTTGTCTCTCTCTCTCTCTCTCTCTCCCTCCCTCTCTCTCACATTCCCCTCCCCCACCAGGATCGCCCGAATCGGCACCTGGGGGGGTGAGATCGAAGCGAAATGGATGCGCTCCCCCTCGCCGGGAAATCGGTTGCGGGTTCAGGTCGCGCGTGCGGGCGGGGCGAAGCTGCGTGCGCGGGGGGGGGAGGAGGAGGGGGGGAGGGGGAGGGGGAGGAGGAGGAGGAGGGGGAGGAGGGGGAGGAGGAGGAGGACGAGGAGGACGAGGAGGAGGAGGACGAGGAGGAAGGATCCCGCCGCTGCTGGGGCGAAAGCGGAGCAAGGTGCTCTCCTCGTCCGCTTGAAGCGGTCGGTGCCCCGTGGTTGCTCCGCGGTTGCCTCGCGATTGTCCCGCGGTTGTCGTGCAATTGTCCCGTGGCTGCCCCGTCGGCTGCCAGGACGGATTGATAACCGCATCTCGACAGGCGGTCAGCGATGTCGAGAAGTAGATCGTGAGGTCGAATGAGATATTGATAATGACGTTTACAGAGGGACTGATGGATGATGAGATCGATCGATCGTGAGGTCGGTGAACAACTAGTGGCATGGGGAGGTAGATGAGACCGGTCGATCGCTATATCGAAACAGAGGTAGTGAGACCCATGCATAGAAATCGACAGTGAAAAATATGGTGAGATCGGTAGATCGTGCCGTGCCACTGCTAGATATACAGTGATGCCGATATATAGATAATGTGATCGTCAAAAGGACAGTGAGATCGATAGGCCGTGATACTGGGACAAGTCTGCAGATGCATCGACAAACATATTGATGGTGCGATCAATATGTTTATGTGTGCACATATATGGATGGACACGATTGTCCGGATGGTTGTCCCGTCGTTGGCTCCATCCAGTTATTTGGTATATAACTCCATCTCTGCCCAATTCTCTCTCTCTCTCTCACTCTCTCTCTCTCTCATTCTCGCTCTCTCTCTCTCTCTCTCTGGCGTCCCTCTCTGCCTCCCTGTCCCCCTCTCATGCCGAGGACGCTGGAACAGCGCCTGCTGCGACGACCCTGCTGGGGGACAGCCAGGCAACAGGGGTGGGGGCGGTGCAGAAGGAGGGCCCCCTATGACAGCACTCGCCCACGAGGATGTAAAGGTACCCTTGGAAAGTTACGCGTCCTTACGATCATGATGCAGTTTGACAGCAACAGCTCTACTGATGACGCCACCAAGAAGAATGAGGGGAAACGTTAGGGGGGCCGGATCAGGGGGAAACATTGAGCTTGAATCGGCGATATAAAGACGATATATCGGCGATGGGCCCCGACAGCGAATCGGGACGCTCCTGGGCGGGGTGGGCCATCAAGCCCCTAACGGCGCTACTGGGGACGATCGGAATCCGATCGTCCCCAGCCCCGGAATACGCTACTGGGAACGCATCGACATCATGTCGATGCGTTCCCCAGGCCTCCCAACTCCCAACACGCATCTGAGAGGCCTCTCGTCCGCGATCCAGGACCCGCTTCTTCCTCCAGGAGCCTCTGCCGAAGCATACACTCTTAGAGAAAACAAGGAATCTCCCCCAATTACAAGAAACACCCGAGCAAGCGAAGCCGTCCAGTGCACGCACCCGAGGAATCGAATGGGGCAGGGCAGCGTAGCCAACGCACAGGGCCGTTTCGTAAACGCCAGCCACCGGGGTCGGGATGATTTTTCCTCCCTTGCCTTGCCCTTAGTGGGCCCCGGAAACGGCAGGGCTGTCTTTTCACCGTTTCCGAAAAAGTGCCCTTTGAAAATGGAAACGGCAAAAAAACTGCGACCGGAAACGGCAAAAAAACGGCTCCAAGATCGGAACTGGAGCCGGAACCGGTCAAAGAACGGCGACGGAACCGGCAAAACAACGGCGTCGGAACCGGCAACAAGAACGGCAGAACGGAACCGGTAAAAAACGGCCCTGTCGTTTCCAGGGCCCACTAAGGCCTTGCCCTCCTCTGCGGCGCAGGAGGGGCAAAGACCGCAGCCCGACGCGGCGGCGGCGGTTCGGCCTCGCTTGCCGTCGCGCCACGGCGAGCACCCCCGGGGCGGGCCGCCGAACTCTGCGCGCCTGCACGGCCGGCACTGGGGGAGCGCGCGGGCGGTGGACCCGCCATGACGCAAACGGAAGACGAAACCACCACGAGAATCACAACGTGTGAGGATAAATCGAGGATCTCTGGGATCCGGGCGCCGCGGCCTTCTCAGAGCGTTCCGGAAAGCTCTACGCACTGAGAGCGTTGCAGAACGCTCTGGAGCGGAATCGTCCTCGTCCTACAAAGTTCCTAGAAATCGAATCCGACCCCCTCGCCTGAGAATTCAATGTTGATGGACGCGCGCAGCGCGGCCCGCGGGGTGGACAACAAAAATTGCAGTAGCCCATGTCGACGTCAACATTGACATTTGGGTCGGGGGGCGTCGCCAACTCGTGGGAAAAACTTGCGTTTGATGTTTGATTTCAAGGCGGGATGTCGCCCCGCCCGAAAACGGGTCCTGAGGGAAGGTCCTGTGTTTTCTGTGTTTTTTCTCCGCTCTTGGCCCCCCTGGGCAATCTAAGGACCCCAAAAGACTGCTCGGAAACGGAAAAGGGGGAGGAGGAGGAGGAGGAGGAGGAGGAGGAGGAGGAGGAGGAGGAGGAGGAGGAGGAGGAGGAGGAGGAGGAGGAGGAGAAGGAGGAGGAGGAGGAGGAGGAGGAGGAGGAGGAGGAGGAGGAGGAGGAGGGGAGGAGGAGGAGGAGGAGGAGGAGGAGGAGGAGGAGAGGAGGAGGAGGAGGAGGAGGAGGAGGAGGAGGAGGAGGAGGAGGAGGAGGAGGAGAAGGCCCCCGGATGGGATGGGGTGGTAAACGCCGACGCCGACGCCAGCGCCGAAACCGACGACGACGACGGCGACGACAACGATGACGACGACGGCGATCACGGCGACGGCAAAAGCGACGACGACGGCGATGGCGACGGCGACGGCGACGCCAACGCGGCCGCAGCCGCCGCCGCCGCCGCCGCCGCCGCCGCCGCCGCCGACGACGACGACGACGACGACGACGACAGACGACGGACGACCACGGCGACACCGGCGGCGACGACGAACCAACCCACACCCAGGGGAGGGCGGGGGGTTGCACTGGCACCCTCCACCACGCCACGCCCACAGGGCCACGACTACAGGGAGGGGGGGGGGGGGGCGATCCCTTTCGCGAGGTCTTCGCGAGCCGCACTGGCGTACCCATCCACCGGGGGGGGAAGCTCGATCCCACATGCATTGGGGGGGAGAAGCGGGGGGCACCCCTGGATCATATACATGTCGCAACGCCAATTGTTCTGAACGCACCTCAATCGACGAAACCAGCACCGCGGCAAACTTCAAGGCAAACCCTGCGCCCGAGGCGGAGTTTGCCCTGGTGGCCGAGGCGCCACCCCCAAGGCGGCAGGCCTTGCGTCAGAACGAAGACCGCGGCTACACACATACACATATATATACACATATATATATATATCTATGTGTATATATATAGGTGTATATATAGATATGTGTACGCAAATCAATATGTATATATATATATATATGTATATATATGTGTATATACATATATAGTTATGAGTTTAACCAGGAGGGCTTGAAGTCGCCAACACCAATGCTCGAACACACATATCCCCCCCCGCAACTTGCTGGCAATGCTCAGGAAACCGAGAGCCCTTAGCGATTGGCACTTGTTAGCAAACCCCGACGGGCCCAATGACGCGAGGACCTATCGCATGCAACTCCAGGAATCGGGCGGGCTGGTGGTTATGATGTTGAATGGGAATATGAACTACTTGCATTTGAGCTGCATATCTCAAGTGCTTTGGAGAGCTCATTGTTGAACTGTGTCAAAGACCCTGGCTTCTGAATGACTTCGGCATGTGCGCTTGGGGGCGCGCGCGTTTGATCCTTCCTTGTCAGACTCTATCAAGCGAGGGGTGGATGCTGTTGGAATGAAACCGACGCGCGCGCGGGGCAGCGCTTGTGGCCCGCAAAGTGTTTCTGTATAGGGGTTGCAAGACATCCATGGTTTATATCGGCTTGAAGTTATCGGGTGCGCAAAAAGTCAGCCACTAGAATTTGAATGCGGTTTTTGCTCCGCAGTTTCTGAGGAGGCCTGCGTTGACATTAGTATGGTTCCGACATGCGCGCGCGGGGCGCGCGCGTGGCCTGTAGTATATCACCGCGAGGGCGATTCTTACAAAAACCATGTGTGCACCACGTGGTCAAAAGTGACGGGGGTTATCGAAACTGCCTTGGCTGGGATGGTAGTATTTCATTTGTGCGATCACCAATCGCAGAATCCATGGAACACCCTATAAGGAGGGATACAAGTACACCCGGTTCCGGCATGGGGGTCGACCCTGGTCCTCTTTACGGCAAGGAATACACGCAGTGCTGTTAGTGTGGCGATCTCGCGGTCGCCAACTCGCATGCCCGAGCAAACATCCCACCGACCTACCCGCAACTTCTTGATAACACTGAAGAGGCCGTGAGTTCAATAACCGATGTGGACTTGTTAACGAATCCCAACACGCGCAGTGACGAGCGAACCCGTGCTGTGGATATATGGATCGGGTTGGCGAGTTATGATAGTGTCGGGGCTACGAGGCGGTGGGAGGCCAAACGTATAATATTTGAACACATCGGTGCGGACGCTCTTCAGAAACAACGGCTCTTGCATGATTTCGACATGCGCGCTCGGGGGTGCCCGCGTGGCCCGCGTTCCTGCCTTTGACCGGTTTGGCGGGGGACCCGTTCGTTTTAGGTTTGGCATGTCCCTCTACAGGCGGATTTTGGACGAAAAATTCAAAAAAAACCCAACATATCCCCAAAATGTTCAAAAATGGTCACGTGACGATTTTCTCACTATTTTTGAATATTTCTCCTGTGGAGGGACACGCCCGACTGAAGCTTATACTTATACGTATAGCAAGTGCGGGATGGTTTTTGTATGACGTCGACACGCGCACTGGGGGACGCCCGCGTGTGGCCCACAAAGTTTTAGTGTCTGCCCGGGGTGGCGCCACACGTCTTCTCCCGGCGATGATGTGCGCAAGTGTTGGCGGCGCGCGCAAGGGGGTGGAGGGAGGGGGGAAGGGCTTCCTAGAATGGGACGAGAAACATATATTGACATAGCGTGCTATATACACTCCAGGGATTCTGGGATTTCTAAAAGCCTTCGCGCGGGCTACATTTGCGTCGAGTATTGTCTACTCTGGCTGGCGCCGCTGGTCGGTCACCCATAGGCAATCGAGTGGTATAGGGGGCTATTTGGTACTTGCTGATCCTCCTTCTCGTTTCCGAGCGCGGGGGGGACGGTGGCATACCGTCCCATCGTCCGCCGCCGCGCACCGCGCGCATCGGCGGATTTCGAAAAACCTGGTAAGGCAAATGACGCACGACTCTGGGAAGTTATCCGGGGGAAAATTTGAAGCAAAAAAACAAAAAATACGCGAACATTTTTGTTGAAAATGTCCGGCCTACTTTTTGAAAAATACCAGAATCGATTTTGAAAAGCTCCGGGGTCGATTTGAAAGATTCCGGAATCAATTTTGAAAAACTCCGGATTTCAGAATTATTCAGATGTCCTGCGCGGCGGGCGCCTTCCACCCCTCAAACCTGTCTTTTGTTTTAAACTGCCGGGCTCTTTTTTGAAAAAATCCAGAAGCGCTTGCGCAAAACAAACGGAAGCGTTTCCTGAAACATTCTACAATCCAGAAAAAAATTCCGGGCGGTCCGATGGGCGCGGCCGGCTGATTCACGCACCACGCCGCGGGCGATTGGGCGCAGCGCGCGCCGCGCGTTGCGCCCGCGAACAGCACTCGAAGGGGTTACCTCGAAAGCAGCGCCACGGCAGCTGCGACTCGCGGGTTCCCCAAGAGCAACACAGCATGCAGCTTGGAATCTCCGAGGGCGCTCCGATGCGCGACAAATGCACCGCGCACATCACGCAAAGAACCTGCGCGACAGAATGCGCTCGACCACTCGTCCCTGGAGCCCGCGCGGAAGAACATGAAAATCTGGAAATCTTGAAAACGATCAATACATCAATACTTCATACTCCTCTGATTAAAGGAGGCTGCTTCTTGGAAGGCGCCGGCCTTACATTTATAGATGCGGCCTGCGCCTTCTAAGAAGCAGGGGTGTTTCTAAGAAGCCCCCCCCTCCCCCCCCCACCCCGCTCTGCGCGTGGCTGAGGTTTGGCGGGGGAACCAATAGCTTATACTTCTAGCGAGTGCGGGATGGTTTTTGTATGACGTCGACGCGCGCACCGAAGGGCGCCCGCGTGTGGCCCACAAAGTTTTAATGTCTGCCGGGGGTGGCGCCACACGTCTTCTCCCTGTGATGATGCGAGCGAAAGGATAATCGAGATGATGTTGCTAATTCTTTCACGTGGCCCCCCAGGAGTTTGGCACCCTTGGTCTAGCCTCGCTGCCTAGGCGCGTTGGGGCACATGCTTACGGCATGCAGCGCCTCGCTGCCTAAGCGCGTTGGGCCAAATGCTTACGGATGTGAGCAAGTGCGCGGGCAGAACACCTGACATCTTCTTACCGGGAAGCGCGTGCCGTTTTTTCCGTATTAGGCGTTTGAAGCTCTCTATTCGCAAGTGATTACATCTCCCATGGTTTCGGGCAGGGGGGGGGCGTGGCTCGCACCGAACGGACTTCTTTGCGAGTGCACAGCACGCTGCCATTTGACAGAGATGACCTTGAGCGACAGTGCGGATGTGACTTGGATGGTGTGGCTTCATGCATCGGATGAGCGATCGGGCAACGTAAACGTGTACGACAAGATACGCAGATGGGGTACTTTCAAGTCAGACATGGGGGTAGAAGGGTAGACTCTAACACCTTTTGGGAAACGGAATGCGATTGGATGCGATGGGAGAGGAGGAAGGAGAGACGAGGAAGAAGGAATGATGAGACAGGAAGGGGAGAGAAAAGGGACGAGGGGGGGGAGGAAAGGTGAGGAGCGGACAAAAGAGACAAGGGAGGAGGGAGTAGGAGCAGGAGCACACGGAGGCGCCACGAGGAGGATGGATACGAACACGAGGAGGATGGAGATAAGGGGAGGAAGCCGCAGGGGGAGGAGGAGGAGGAGGAGGAGGAGGAGGAGGAGGAGGAGGAGGAGGAGGGAGGAGGAGGAGGGGGAGGAGGAGGAGGAGGAGAGGAGGAGGGAGGGAGGAGGGAGGAGGAGGAGGAGGAGGAGGAGGGGAGGAGGAGGAGGAGGAGGGGGAGGAGGGGAGGAGGAGGGGGGAGAGAGGAGGAGGAGGAGGGGGAGGAGGAGGAGGAGGAGGAGGAGGAGGAGGAGAGAGGAGGAGGAGAGGAGGAGGAGGAGGGAACCCCGAAGTCCGAGCGGCGATTGGGCCCCGGGGGGCTCCGGGGGGCCACGGCGCCTGCCCTTCCGCTTCCGCTCCTGCAGGCGCATGAACGCCTGCGGGGCGCGGGTGGTTCACGCGGGCGCGGCCGGGCCCGGAGGCGGCCTGGGCCGATGGGGCACGGTGGGGGGGGGGAAGGCCCAGACATCGGGCGTCTCGAAACAGTCGAGGCGAACATTTTTCGTCGTTTTCGGCCTCCCGGGGCCCTCGCTGGGCCTCGGGACCGTCAAACACCGACTCGGGATGAGAAGCCGGTCCCGGGGAAGTGGTCGGGAGGTCGGGGGCCCGTGTCTCGAACAAATCGAGGCGTCGGATGTCTGGGGAGGAGGGGGGCGAGTGGATTGGAGCGTGGATCGAGGGGGCCCAGAGGACCCGAGCCTAACAGAATGACGCCTCGCAGGGGGCGAGGCCATCCCTGGGTGAGATATGGCCCATCCTCTGCCGCCACCGCACTGCTGAAAACCGTGCTGCTGGATAGTTTCGATCAAACGGGGGCCAAATGGCCTAGACTTTAACATTTCCCGGATGGTCGACGACTCTGGACTGTAAGCCGTGGGCTCGGAGAAGTTTGTCCAGACAATTTTGGAATCTGGGGCTCTGTGGCTTTGCAGGGCCCTGGTCGGGCTTGCGCCTCGGGCTTCCAGAAAGAAGTGCATGGTCGTGGCGTCGGACGGTAAGTCAGGGAAGACGCTCGCCCTGGGCGTGGAGGAGTTTGGTTTTTGGTATGTTCATGCTGTCAAAAACCTCGGAGTTGACTACAAGCTTTCGGGAGAAGAAGGCAGGTGTCACGAGGAAAAGGATTTCAGTGGTTCGAGGGCGTGCTCGTCGGTGTCGTGCTCTTCGCTTCTCGAAAAAGCTTCTTCAGACTGTATTATCGTGGAGGACCCACGCCAGCGGCGATGTACTATGTACGGCGTCGTGGTCGTAGGCATGACGGACGGCATGTTGGAGCAACAACGTGCATCCACGGGCGCAGCAGTGTTCGGGCCCGTCAAGGGCCGCAGCCGCAGCAATCAATGTTTGTCGGCAGAGGTCGAGAAGCTCGACCCGTCGTTCCAGGCCAACAGCTTGCCGTTTTCAATGTGGGTGGGGGCCAACTTCGACGGCTGGACCACCGAGGCCTAGATGAAGCACGCTTTGGATCATGCTGTCGCCTTAGGTCTTAAAGGTGGAAGACGGTTCTAGGCCCAGCAGGAGTGGTGGTAAACACGCTCAAGAGACTCGAGTGGGACATCCTGTCCTGGGACGTCTTGGTCACGGCCTCCAGAATCGTGGTCATAGTCGAAGATACAGGGCCCAGGACTGTCCAAACAATAATTGAAGAAGCGACCTAGCGGTTGCTGAGGCTACGTGCTTGCGCATACTACAATGTGTTTTAGGAGCCATGTGGAACCATTTCATGCTGAACTTGCTCGACTAAGAGGCCTTGGAGATGACCTTTGGGTTAGCCTGGTTATGGCACAAGCTTCTGGGGGTCTCTGGACGCAGTCAGACGTTTTCGACAAGCGGTTTTCGGCGGACTAAAGGTGCCAGTGGTGCCAGCAGGAGGAGGGGACCCCGTACCACAGGATCTGGCAGTGTGATGGATCCTGTATGCTTCGTAGAGACCAGCTCTGTGGGCTTAGCGATCTGGAATTAGAAGCTAGGAGTTCCCCAACGGACTTGAAGTGGACCAAAGGCATTGTCTATTCCACAACAGGACCGAATTCGCGAATATCCTCAAAGGTGCTAATTAACCATGGGCCGGCTTGCCGCCAGAAGGAGTTTGAGGATCTTTGGTCAGCATAGATGTCTCGGCCTATGATGCAGAATGCGAATGGACGATACGTGCTGGTTGGTCCATCGTTTCGATCACCAGCGGCATGCAGGTACAAGGTATTGCGTACGGCCCCTCCCCTTTGCCAGTGCTGGACGTTCCTAGCTCTGAGCTGTACCCTTTCAACATGGCCTCGCTCCTCATGGGAGCCCAGATCACGATCGTCACAGATGGTAAGATGGTACATGATGGGTGGAAGGCGGGAAGGGAAGAGACAGCATCGTCAAACAGACTCCATGCGGAGCTGCGGAGAATCATCTGGGCCCGCATTGATGACATAAGCGCAGGCTCTGCCACGGTGCATCGGATGCCGTCGCACATGTCGAGGGCAGCGTCAGGGAGAAGGGGCTACGACCCAGCCTGGTTCAGAGAGCTTTCGCGCCTGTTCGGCTTCCCGACGCTCCGAGACGGCCTAGGGGGCCTCCGAGATCGCCCCAAGAGGCCCGTAAGACAGACCCCGAACTGACATTTCGAGCCCTCGGCCCCGAGAGGCCCCCAGGAGGCCCCAAGAGGTTCCTAAGAGGCCCCCAAGAGTCTCCCAAGAGGCCCCCGACAGGCACCCGGGAAGCCCCCAGACGCCCCCAAGAGGCTGCCGAGGCTTCAAAAACTGCCTCCCAGAGGCCGGCAGAGAGCGCTCCGAAGAGACCCCACGAAGCATCCCGGAGGGCTGACCCACGTCTGCGTCGTCGTTGTCGTCGTCGTCGTCGTCTGCGTCGTCGTCGTCGTCGTCGCCGTCGTCGCCGTCGTCGCCATCGTCGTCGGCATCGCCACCGTCGTCGACGTCGTCGTCGTCGTCTCCCTTCAGGGTTGGTGGCACCTGCCGGTCGGCCCAGAGAGGGATGAAGCCAAATCCGATCAACATCGGTCCCCAGACCCTTCCCAGGGTCCATCTGGTGTGAATTTTCACCCCAGCTCGGTTTGTCTGGCCATCGCTCGGACGTCCATTTCCTGCATTTTTCGGTTTCGTGCGTGGTTTTTTCTCCAAATGATCAAGGATGCTCCTCGATGGTCCTCGCCGAAGGAAAAATGCACACGTCCGAGCGATGCCAAGTTGTCATTGCTGGGGCCCGTGAGCAACTCCCGAAGACCGAAAGAGGTAAACAACAAAAAAAACACTCCCGAACCCAGGGCCCGCGAGCCCTGCCCGACCCCTCCTGCTCGCGGGAGCCAGTGCTGGGCAACCTCAGACCCCCAGACGGCTCCGAAGCTTACACGTCGTTCATTGCTAATCGTGCTCACTTCTAATTGTGCTCGCTTCTAAGTGTTCCTGGCCCCCTAGTGGCCAGGAAGAGGCCCAGGATAGAACAATCAGAAATGAGAGGATCTTGGTCCCATAAAAAATCAAATAACTTTCGAATACTTAGAAATGAACAAGGTGTAGCTCCCTGCCTAAAGCCTGTAGTTCCTCATGGTAGAACTCTGGCCGCACGAGCTAGCCGTCGCAAATCTGTTTCATCAGCTGTACAGCTCGCGCAGCGCCAGCACCAGCCCCGCCGCGGCCGCGGCGCTGCCGCCGAAAGCTGACGCGAGCTGCAGCAGCCGGTCGTCGCCCAGCGCGGCGCAGACGACCGCGGCCCGCGAGGCCTGCGCGTAGGCGTCGTCCCAGAGCGCCCCGGACCTCAGGCCAGTGTTGGAGCAACGGGACGCACAATCCTGAGATCCTAGCGTCTCAATGTTTCTGAGACGGGCGTTTTCGCCAGGTTCTGGGCCACGGGAGCCTCACAGATCGATCCAGCTCGAAAAATGGTGCAGGCCGATGGGGACTAGAGCTCCGGTGGACATGTTTTGCGATGTCTCATTTTTTCGCGCCGTCGGATCTCAAGAAGGACATGCTAGTACAATGTGTCCTCCTCGGAGGGGTGCGTCCGATCCGAACATATAGTTACTACAACGATCGTGGAGTAGATCGTTGTCCGAGCGATGCGGCCACAAGACGCCTACCATCGAACATATGGTCTTGGCGCGCGCGTCGCCACTTTGCGGGCGACGCACACCTCGTATTAGCATGTTTCTGGGCGACGCCGAGGCAACGACAGGGGGGGGGCTGGCTCACGGGGGGGAAGCGTCGACCTGGAATCGGCGATGCATCGCCCGTGCATCGGCGATGGGCCCCCGAGGGCCCACCTGCACCCTCCTGGGCGGGGTGGGGCTACCGGGCCCCTCTCGGGGATCCGTGAGCGATCGTGGGCCCGTGCATCCCCCCCTGAACCTGTCCCCCCATGACATTGCTGAAGGGGCCCAAGGACACACACATAAATACACACAAATAAAGATATTCCCGTATATTGTCCCATATGTTTAGGGGTTTTCGTCTTCCCCCCCACTTCCCATGTTTTGCCCATATTTTCGGGGGAATCGATGATTAATTGTGTTTGTGTGTTCCTTGCCCTCCTGAATTGCCCCTGGACAGGTGTCCTGAGCTGCGTGGTCTGGCCTGGTTGCAGCGGCCAGCGGGGCCAGGAGCTGCCTGGGCTGCGAGGGAACATGTGCAGCTCGGGGCCGGCCCGTCCTGGGAAGCCCCACGGGGGCCCGCGTGCCGTCGCGGGCGACGAGAGTTCAGCACGAGGGGAGGGAAGGTAGCGAAAGGGAGCACGGGGGAGGGGAGTGGCAGCACCAGAAGCGCCCTGTTGGGAATGGGCTGGCGGCGATCGCTTCATCCTCCCCATCGCCCTCTTTAGAGCTCCCGCTTGCAGGTAAAACATGGTCTGCGCTCATGCGTGGGCATGTAGCTAAGATGGACCCCCCGTCCTTTGCTCGGGCTCCAGGGGCGCGCTCTCTCTTTCTATTTGTAGGCTATGCTGTGCGAGCTACGTGGTGTGAGCTTCAGTGGTGAGTGGTGCTGTCTTTGAGGTGCAATCTATGTGGTGCAAGCTGTGTGGTGCAGGCTGTGTGGTGTAAGCTATGTGGCGTAAATCTGTCTCTCTTCCTCTCTCTCTCTCTCTCTCTCTTTTCTCTGTCTCTCTCTCTCTCTCTCTCTTCCCACATAGGCACGTGCACTCTACACCCAATCACATCAGCCTGACCACCTCGTCAGGCATTCTTTGCTCATACCTGGCGATTCACCTATCTGGAACCGGGCCGCCGACATCGGGAACAACTCGGCACCCGCTACCAGCAGGCACGCGTAGGACAAGCTGAAAAGGTACCGCACGATCTCCTGCAGCTGCAGCCGGGGGCCCCACGCGTCCTGCGAGTAGCCGAAACACACGAAGCCCACCTGCCGCCGGGGAGCTTGGCACATGCAGCAACCGTCAGGCCCTGGGCCGGAGACCCAACGATCAGGTCGGGCATGTCCTCCTATACAGGCGGATCTGGAGGGGGAGAAATATACTTCAAAAATGCCAAAACATAGCCCAAAATACTCCAAGAATCGTCCCCGGATAATTTTTTCAGTATTTTTTGATATTCCTGTAGAGGGACACGCCCGACTGCACCCAACGACCGAGGACCTCAAAAAGCCTGGCCAGACTGCTGGGGCGGTGCGCCGGGCCCTGGAGGCGAGCGCGCCCTGCGGGGCGGGTCGCTCCCGCGAGAACGCGAGCGAGTTCTGGGCTCCAGCAGGCCTTCTGTGCCAGCAGGGCCTCCCGGGCCCCGGCCAGCGCGCCGTTCTGCGGGCCGCGCGGGCCAAACTTGAGCAGCAGCACGTCCTGGCCCTCGAAGAGCTGCCGCTGCAGAGTCGGCAGCGTCACCAGCTGGCCCCCCTCCGCCTCGCCGTCCTCCTGCGCGAGGGCGCCCAGCACCCCCGCCCAGCCGCCCAGCCGCCACTGCTGCCGCTCCGCCAGAAGAGACAGCCGCCTGAAGCTTGACGCGGAGCTCTCCAGGGAGACGACGGTGGCCACCTCCGCGGGCCGCTCGCACTCCGCAGCGGCCGCCTCCTCAAGCTCCCCGGCGTCCAGAGAGGCCGCGCGCAACCGGCGCCGGTGCAGCTGCCCGAGCCTCAAAGAGACAGGTCCTGAGGGAACCGGGTCCTCAGGGAACCGAGTCCTGAACCCTGGGGCCTTCCACCAAGACCAGCTCTTCATCCTGACTTGTTTTCTGACGGCCCGGGGGGGCCGTGGAGGGCTCGCCGCAAAAACGACGAGCAACATCCTCAGGACCCGTTCCCCTCAGGACCCCTTCCCGTCATGGCGAGAGCCCGACCAGCACGCCCTCGGCCAGTTCGCCGGTGCCCGCGTCCGCGTCGACGACCACCGCGCCCTGGACCTGGGGAAAACAAGAGGTACCAATACCGCTGCTCCCCGGACCTCTCCCAAGGCGCGTTCTGAACTAAGACTTCGCAGCGAATCCCGCGGTGCCCAACAAGGCGAAAACGAATGAGGCACAGCGGTGTGGGCACGCTTCCCTCCTCGCAGGACTGGCGGCCGAGCGCTCCGGGCGACCGCGGCGATGGCCGGCAGCACGTCCTCCACGCCAGCGCACGGGCCGTCGAGCCGCCGGGCGCCGTGCCGCCGCAGGGCCGCCGCGCGGTGCCCCTCGGCTGCGGCCCTCCAGGCGTGGCCCGCCTGGCCCGCCAGCATGCCGCGGGCGGCGTCGCCCAGCACGTGCGCCCAGAAGGTGCCTGCGGGACACGGAGCCCAAAGCCCCGACGTCAGGACTTCTCCATGACCTCGACCCCCACAGGTCTGCACCCGCTCCCCGTGGCCGGCCCTTCATCACCAGTCGTTGTGTCGACGCTCCCGAAGGCAGGTTGGGGCACCCAGAGGCCGAAGATCGGGGGCGCGCACACATGGATTAGCGATGCGTGGGTTTGGCGTGCGGTCGCCGAATCCATGGATCGGGGGAGGTGCCCTCTCCAAAATGCGGCCGGTGCCTTCTCCTTCGACGGCGGAAATCCACGACTTCCCCTGGAAACGGGACCCTTCGCTAATCCACGCCCCCTTGGCCCATGTTTCCAAACATCCGACGTCTCGATTTGTTCGAGACACGGGCCCCGACCTCCCGACCACTTCCCAGGGACCCGCTTTTCAGCCCGAGTCGCTGTTTGACGGTGTCCCGAGGCCCAGCGGAGGGCCCCGAGAGGCCGAAAACGAAGAAAAACCTTCGTCCCGATTTTTTCGAGACGCCCGATGTCCGGGGTGGCGGCATCGGTACCCCAGGTCACCCGCGGGGGCGCGAGGAGAATCGCGCTTCGCGCGTGGCGGTCCCAGGCCGGATCAGCTTCTTGGCGCGGGAGCGCGAAGAGATAGCGGGGCGTCGCACGTCGTGGGGCGCGAGGCGCGGAGCTTGATGCCAGATTGCGAGCCACGACGAAAGCACGGCGGGAAGTTTTTCGCATCTTCTCGGGCGATGCCGCCACCCCAGACATCTGGCGTCTCGAAAACATCGGGACGAAAATTGTTCGTCGTTTTCGGCCTCTCGGGACCCTCCGCCGGGCCTCGGGGCCGTCAAAAAACGACTCGGGCTGAAACGCTGGTCTCGGGAGGCCGGGGGCCCGTGTCTCGAATAAATCGAGACGTCGGATGTCTGGGACTCCTTCTGAACAAGATTCCGTGGAGGATCCAGCCCAAGACATGCGACGTCCTGATTTTTCAGGACGGCGTCCCCAGAAGTCCCGACCCTTTCCCCGGGGCCGGTCTTTCATCCTGAACCGTTTTTTGACGGTCCTGGGTCCTGGCGGGGTCCTCGAGAGGCCGGCAACGACGAAAAACCTTCGCCCTGAATTCTTACGACGCGTGGGGGCGTGGCTCTTCCGGACGAGCAGCGGGATGGGTGCCCGTTCCTCCTCCGAGTGCCGCTGCGCCAGTCGAGCGCCCTCGCGGCCGAGTGGGGGCCGCCCACAAGGGCGTCGAACAGCTGCCACCGCCGCTCCTCTAAAGGGGCCCTGGGACACACAAATTCGCCGGCCCAACGGGCCAGAGGCGTGCTAAGATCTCCAGCAACTGATTGACAATATTTCTAGTTCGCGCGCGCGGAGCGGCCCCTGGGGGCCCCTGGACGAAAAGTACCCCGGCAAGGTCCCGGGAGAAGCCCCCAGAGCACTCCAGGGGAGGGCCATTTTTTCGACACCCCTCACGAGGATCGTGGCCTCCGAGGGGGGAGCCGCAATCGACTGCCCCCCCTCCCGCCCAATGAGGCCCCCAAGAGCCTCCCAAGAGGCCCTGGGGGCCCCCAAGACGCCGCCCAGGAGCCCCAAGAGACCCCCAAGAGGTCCCCAAGAGGCCCCCAAGCGGCCCTAAAGAGGGCTCCAGGGCCGGCGGCATGAACGAAGCGATTAAAGAAACACACACACACACACACACACACACACACACACACACACACACACACACACACACACACACACGCACACACACACACACACACACACACACACACACACACAACACACCACACACACAACACACACACACACACACACACAACACACAACACACAACACACAACACACAACACACAACACACAACACACAACACACAACACACAACACACACCACACACACAACACACACACACACAACACACAACACACAACACACAACACACAACACACAACACACAACACACAACACACACCACACACCACACACCACACACCACACACCACACACCACACACACAAATAACAGGATTCCCCATATTTTATCATATTTTCTGGGCTTTCGCCTTTCCCCCCACTTCCCATATTTTTCCATATTTTCCCGGGGATCGACGATTCATTGTGTCTGTGTGCTTCTTTCCCTCCTGATCCTCTGGGATCGCGAGCAGGATCTCGGCCAGGCGGGGCAGCTCGGAGGGCGGCAGGAAGACTGCCATGTCCGCCCAGGGCAACTGCCCGCCGAGGGGGGGCTGAAAGTCGTCCGAGATGACCACCGGGACGCAGCCTGGAGGGTTCCAGCAGGGCTTGAGGCATTGGGTTGGGCCGACTCCCCGCGTTGATCCCATCTCCCGAGGGCTGCAACGCAACGCAAAAGTCAGACGCCGAGGCGCGTGGACACAACACTACATGCGATGGCGGCAGACAGCGGACTGCCAAGCCGCCCGGATTGTCAGTTCTTCAGCTTGTGCAGGAGAGGCGCGTCCTTGTAGTTGGCCGGTCCATTCATTCCTATAGGTCTCCCAACGTGTCGCATGTATCCCTCGGTCGCCGTCCTTGCGTCGCTCTCTGGGAACCACGCAACGCGGCCATATAGGAGCAGCTGCTACTGCAAAAGACCGTCGGCCAAAACGCAGAGGTTCGGCAGGGGGGAGAAATGCAGGGGCTAGGTACCCCCCCCTGGCCCTAAGCAGATTTGGAACCCTCCGGCCGGCCGTGGGCGATCACGTCGTAGAGGCGCACATTGTTGGTGTGGGAGCTGCCCCGGAGCACGGCGCAATACTTGCTCTCGAGCATGGCGGCCTTGTAGTCCGCGTCGCCCAGGATCTGGTCCGTCACCAGCACCTCTAGAGGAAGAGTCAACAACATAAACATAAACTTTCGACGGTCGGCGCGGAGTGCTTGGATCTGCGCCGGACCCCCTCCATGGCGCGCGGAACGCAGAGCCAGGGGGTCCCAACGCAGATCCAACAAATCCGAGGGGACCGTCGACAATTTTTGGGCAGTTCTTCCTCACTCGGACCTCCCCGGGCGGGAAGTCCTTGTAAAGATCGTGCAGTGTCCGCCTGGAGCAGCTGTTGATGCTGCCAGCGAAGAAGAGGAGCCGCGGGCGCTCGAACGTGCGCCCCCTCGTCGTCAGCTGGAAGCGGCTCGGAATCGGAATGCCGAGGGGAGGGAAGGCGCACGGTGCCCTCTGCGGGGATCAATCTGCCTGAACTAACGAAGGAGGAATGTATTCGCAACAAACGGACGCCTAACCCGTTGGGAGAGGACCCTCAGTTAGGAGAGCCAGAAAGATTGGAGATAAGGGAATCTTTCTCCAGATGTATCGAGCCAAACCGCCCAGACTTAGTTTCCCTGATGCAAAGGTGGGGACCTCAGTGAGGCCACGCCTTCACTGTGTTATTTAAGGTTAGGGATTCTTGTACCTCGAAGAAACAATGGCATGAACCTTAACTTTCGACGGTCCGCGCGGATTTCTTGGATCCCCCCTCCCTGGCGCGCGGAGCGCGCCAGGGAGGGGGGTCCAGCGCAGACGGTCGAAAGATGATGCTTGTCCTGTGTCTTTTGTTCCTTCGAGCTACATCCCTGCCGCTCGCGACCTCGCAGGGGGCGGAGGTCGGCACGAGATGTTGGAACCCCTAACCCCTCTCGGGGGCGGCCAAGAGGGGAGCGTCCAAGAGGGGCGGGCGCAAATCATGGCCGGCGGCATGTGCGCGGCGCAGGGGGGGGGGGGGGGGGGCAGGGAACGTATTGCAATAGGAGGAGGCGCCATGAAATCTGGGGAGGTATCGTGGCCCCCGCAATGGCGCCCACCCTCCCCCCCTAGTCATCACCCCCCTCTTGCCCGCCCCGACCTCCTCGCGTCGCCAAGAACTCCCGATGGGACCAGCAGTGTTCGGCATGCGGGCCCAAGAGGGCCCTGGCGCGAGGGCCCCGAAGGCTGCGACTCTGGGCGCCCTCAGCGGGGACCTGGATATATCAATTCAGTTGCGCGCCTAAGAGAACGGCGGCCGTGGATCGAAGCATTCTCCATTCTTGGCCCTCTCCAGGGTTTGCTTTTTCGCAGTCTTGGTCGCAGAGGAAGAACAGGCAGCATAAACGTCCAACTTTCGGAGAACTCGCGCGAATTTCTCGGATCGGCGCTGGACCCCCCTCTCCGGCGCGCGGCGCGCGCCAGAGGCGGCGCCAGCGCAGCCCCAGCGCCGATCCAAGAAATCCGCGCGGAGCTCATGCCCTGCTTTCTCGAGGAAGCACCAGGGCTGAACCTGAACGGTGTTTTTCGTTTTCGTTTTGTTGCTTTCCCTCGTTCTGCCTTCAAAACGAAGCCGAAACGAAAACGGCCCAAGAAATCTCCCAAACAGCGTTTAGGTCCAGCCCTGGGAGGCGCTACGAGCAACAGGCCCGAAACAGGGCTAAGAGGCGGGCGAGAGGAGGGGCTCGGCGCGCTCGCCCCGTGTGCGTGCCCGCGGGGATCCCTCCCCTCGGGATGACGAAGTCCTGGGGCCTCGCGCGGAGGTCGGCCAGCCAACCCGGATGGCCCTTCGGGGGCCCTGCGAGGGCCCCGGCGGGCCCGGCAAAGGCACCAAAAAGACGAGCTCTCGGATCGGAGCGTTGACATTTTCGTGCGCACCTAGCGTTTTCGCTGGGTTTCGGGCCCCGGGCCCCGCCCAGATCGATCCGGCTCGAAAATGGAACAGACAGATGGGTCTGGGGCTCTGGTCGTGCTTTTTATTGTTGCGACGTCTCGGTTGTTTCGCGCAGTCGGATCTCGGGGAGGGCAACAGCGAAGACCGCACACGGATGGCCAGGTGGTGATTTTTGGGGGAATCGGCGGGGCCCGCTTTGCTGCTCCCTGGGCGCCCCTGGACTTCCCCTCGACGCCCACCTTCCGCACCTCCCGCGCGGCAGACTGCCGCCGCAGCGGCCGCCGCGGCCGCGGCTCCGCGGCTCCGCGGCGGCGCCTGCTGCGCAGCATGCTCGGGAGGTGGAGGTCCAGGGCCCAGGCTGGCCAGCCGACCGCTGGGAAGTCAAGCGACATCGATGCCGCTCCCCCCCAGAGCCTCTCCACAGAGGCCTCCCGCATGGGGCCCTGGTAGTTGCTTGAAGGGGTCGGAGGATCGCGCCGCATCGCCAAGGCATCGGCGATGCATCGGCGGATGGCGACGGCGGCGACGCATCGGCGCCGCTGGCGTGGAGGGCACCGGGCTCCACATCGAGCCGCATCGCCGATGCGTTGGCAATGCGGCGCGATCCGGCCCCGGCTGCTCGGACCCCGTTCGGGAGCCCCCGGGCTGCAGGGGCGCGCTGTGACGTGGCCTGCAGCCGCGGCTGCACGAGGGCCGACCCCAGGAGGCTCACAGGGCGAAATCGAGCAGGGGGTACTCGAGGGGGCCCAGGGGCACACAGATAAATACACACGAATCCCAGGATTCCCCCTATTTTTCAATAGGTTCTGGGATTTCGTCTTCCCCCCCACTTCCCATACTTTCCCACATGTTCTGGGGAATTGGCGATTCATTGTGCCTGTGTGTTTTTTTTCCCCTCCTGGGTCACCCAGACATCCGCCCGTGTGAGTTCTTCAGGAGGTCCCGACCGCTCCCCTAGGCGCAACTTCTTTCGCCCCAGATTCGCTCTGGACGGCCCCGGGGCCCGACATCGGCCCCCGGGGCCGAGGTCGAAGAGACACCGCCGTGCTTCGAACAACAATCATACCATCGGAGATCTGGATCTGGGACCCCCGCAAGCCCTTCCACAGGGCCGGTCTTTCACCTGACGGTCCCGGGGCCCGGCGAGGCCCCCGTGCGGCCGAGGACTGCCAAAAACTCTCGCCGTGATCTTGAAGAGGGGGCGCTGTCGGGATTGACAAAAAACAAATCGTCGGATCCGAGATCTGGGGTCACCAGAGGCCTCGCAGATGGGGCCCGAATGGATGGGGTCGACGGATCGCGTCGCATCGCCAGAGCATCGGCGACGCATCGGCGGTGAATCGGCGTCGTCGGCGATGCATCGGTGCAATCGGCGTGGGGAAATTCTGGCTCCACACAGCTGATGCATGCAGGCTGCGGCGCGATCCTCCGACCCTGTCCACTCGGACCCCACCCTGGGAGGCCACAGACAGGGCGCCCACAAAGGACGCACGCGCCAAACTATGTACGTTAACACGGCCCCTCGATCCGCGAGACCAGCCGCGTGCTACGAACGCTCGCGCAATATGCGTACTCTCGAGACCAGCGTGGATTCATGTACGTGTGCGTCCTTCGCTCGCTCCTAAACTTGAACAGGGACCGACCGTCCCGGCATTCCTAGAGTCCTACCACGCATTGTTCTTAGAACCCAAAGCAATGTTCTAATAACAAAGACAATTCTTAGAACATACAACCGATGTATCAAACCAAGGCAACCTCAACCAGAAATGTCCTAAGAACATTCCGTGGAAACCACAAACGGTTCTTAGAACGTTGTTTGGTAGGGCTAGAGGCGAGCCAAGACGCTTCGCCACTGCCTATAGGCGAGCCAAGACAATATCTTATCATATCTTCTGGGTTTTTGTCTTCCCCCCACTTCCCACATGTTCCGATATTTTCTGGGGCATCGACGATTAATTGTGTCTGTGTCTGTGTGTGTGTTTCCCCTCCTGGCTGAACAGGGTCACGCCCCGGAGCGGGCCTCACGTCTCGCAGCGCCGCCACGGCCCGCGTGTCCTCGCCGTGGCACGCGTCCTCCAGCGGCGGCCCGGGCCGCACGGGCCACAGGCCAGAGGTCTGTCGGGCGTCGCTTAAGGGGGGGGCGACGCATGGGGGGGGGGGAGAAAGGTGCAACTCTCGCCCTTGAGGGCCCTACAGGCCCCCTTTCAGTCAGTCGAGCCATACGCCGGAGCGCATGGGCGAAAAGAGACGATGCCGGCCTGTACTCTCCGCTTTGCGGGAGCAGCGGCACACCCACCGATTGTTCAACTGCATCATGCGCTGGTGGAAAAGAGGAGAGGCGGGGAAGAGCGGGCAGGGGGGCCCTAAAAGGTCCCCAAAGCCCATAAAAGTTCCATCTAAGGGCCCTGAAGGCCCCCTTTGGGGCCCTAAAGGGAGAAAGGTGCCCTAAAGGTTCCCTTCTGAACCCTAGAAGTCCCCTTTAGGGACCCTCGAGGGCATTTTTCTGCAGCCCTCGCTGCCCCCCCCTCCTTTTTATCGCCCCCCCATCACGCGACGCCCGAGTCTGCAGCCAGGACGCCCGACCGGTGAGCGAGCCGACGCTCCAGTTCGCGGCGGCCTCCAGCCCGCCCGGGAAGTCCTGCCTTTCACCGCGCCGGCGCGCCGGCCGCGGTCGACTGTGTGAACCCTCATATGGGAGCCTCGATGGACCTCCATGGCCCTAGCATAAACGTGATTACGACTGGATGTCGTCGAGATTTCCGCCGCCCCTCTTCACCCTGTCGTCCAGATTCCGTCCAGATGTCATCCAGGTGTCGACGCAAGGGATCTTGGGACCCTCTGAGGCTCCCGTGAAGGATCACACAAGGGCGAGGACCCCCCCGCCCCCAGCGAGGATCTACGGTCGGCAACCTTGGCTTGGCGTGTTGCGGCGGCGGCCCCGGCGACTTTCTCATGCGTTGCAAGCGGCTAGCGTGCCGCTCCGCTCCATGGGGCATGAAGGCGGGAAAAGCTCGGCTGGAACGTGGAGGTAGCGTGTCGCGCCGAAGCGTGGTGGGCCAGAACTAACTGGCGGCGCGACACGCTGAGCCAACGTTCCCGGCCGTACCCCTTGCTGCTCGCGAGGATCGAGGATCCAGGTCGCGGGTC